TTTCTATAAATTGGTTTTTCCTTACTTTTAAACATGTTTACATTACGTAGTAGTTTTCTTTAAGGACCAGAATGGTCCATCTTAATTTATATAACTATGTTTTTTTAAGATCAAAAATTAAACTTTACCTGTCTGGTGGCTAACGAGAAATGACTATAAAATTAAACACACACATATCCGCATTAAAATCAAAAGCTTAGTCAAACTTTTATTTAAGTTATTTCAAACTGTGTGCGCAGTTTGTTTTTACACAAAATCGACTGTATGACTCCAGGAAACGGTTGCTTTAATACTCAACGTTCCGCTTTAAAATCAAAATCTTAGTCAAACTTTTATTTAAGTTATGTCAAACTGTGTGCGCAGTTTGTTTGTATTTATTGTAAATAGTTTTGAGTTTGTTTATCCCAACGACACATCGTGCACATAATGGGTTAATCGGCCAGGTCAGAGACCTCTATGGTTGAGACATAGCCCTACTAATTTTGAACTACGGGCCAGTAGGAAAGTAACCAGCCGACGTCACACGCTAACTTAAGCAGCTTTTCTAAACCGAGCAGCGGGAATGACTCTTACTCTTATAACTCGCCCACGGTTGAAAGTGCGAAGCGTGTTTGGTAGTATCATGTTTTGAGACATAAACTATCCGATACACAATCCAATACACCATTCACTAGTATACACTCGGTCCAGAGGTGATCAAGAAACTAACAATTAACAATTATTTACGTAAAAATACAGACTTAAATAGGTATAGAACTGGTAACCCTGAAAATGTAAAAGAAAAATGGCCACTTTTATTCCTTTAAATGCTCTTTGTCTAAATGTTAATAATTCACACTTACTGCAAAACGATATTAAATAAAACAAATGTTGTTGACAAATCTTTAGATAATATTTTAGTCTAAAATTTTCTTTAGAAAAAAGTGTTACTTTTATAATGTCCAGTAACTTTAATGACGTTCTCGGTTTGCATAATAATGTTATATGATCAATTTAAGATCATGTTTTAATTACCAGCTCTGAAAAATTGGGGCATTTCTTGGGTTCTGATTTGTCTCCTTAAGTAATATATATTTGTGAAGCTTCGTTGTCGTCCTACGAAACATCTAACTAATGGAGTTTCTTCGGAGGGAT